CCCCCCCGGCCAAAAAACCCCAAACAAACTTGGATCAAGCTGGAAGTCCAAAGATCACTTAATCAAGCGGGGTTGGGAATTTTTAAATAAAATGAGGGGATGTAGGGAAGGGGAAACAGCATTATTGTCATAGCTTATACATCCGTTCTGGAAGTACAGTGCAACCTCTACAAACTGGCATGCTAGTCAAACTGTTCTGTGCAGGGCTAGAAGTGAAGGGTGTGGTAGTGTCCCTGGAAATAATGGACCTGCTGCAATGGAGTGGCCAGTCTACATTGTTTAAAAAAGAAAAGAAAAAAAGAGAGAGCTCTAACCTTGAACTGAAGTTGACCCAAGCGATTCAGAGGTTCCTCCAGCCTATAAGTATGGTTTGTAGTTTGTGCCCATTCCATTTAGTAAATAAACTAACACAAAGCTACTTTAGGCATTGTCACTTGCCTTCAAGCCTCTTATCTGCTTTGCACCAACAGAAGGAGGGACTGCCAATAGCAAAAATGGTGGGAGAAAGAGGGTGTTTCACACTTTAACATGGGCGTCTTCTGTTGCTCCTAGCTATTCTCCTATCCAGCTGCTGGAGGTGTGTGTCCCACTCCCCAAAATCTACATCAAACGACAAGCTCCATTAAAGGTTACCATTTTGCAGGACCTGAAGGATTTCTCTCAAAAGTAAGCAGTGTGTAGGTGTTCTTGCCTGTCCTTCCTACCTCTATTTTATTTTTTTGCCTTGATCTCCAGTTACTAGATGACAGGAAGGCATTCTTATTGGAGTTAAATAACACCAGTTAAATATGTTTCACTTTTTTAAATCGAGCGTAGAGGCTGTTTTTTAATAGCAATGAATTGATACACTGAAGAACAAGGCTCCTATTCTGAGAACACTTAGATTAACAATTGTGTGTGTTTTGTTTTGTTTTTTTCTGATCCTGTTAATGACAGAGTTTCACAGGTATATCTTGCTGTTGATGATCGCCTCACCTCTTTGAAAACGGATACTTTCAGCAAAACAAGGGAAGAGAAGATGGAAGACCTTTTTGCACAAAAGGAGGTAATGTGCTGCTATTGCACCAGTAAAATGCAGATTAAAATTCACTGAGCATTAATGCTGGCTGATGGCAGAACACAAACTTCTCTTTCACTTCTTTTGGTAGATGGAGGAGGTAGAGTTCAGGAACTGGATTGAAAAGATCCAAGCAAGGCTGCTGTCATCATCATTGGACACCCCTCAGCAGCTTCAGTCAGTTTTTGAGTCTCTGATAGCCAAAAAGCAGGGGCTCTGTGAGATGCTGCAAGCATGGAATAACAGGTAAGAGACTGGTAATGTTCGTATACTACGTAAGAAATTGTCATGACCTGTCTTCCTTTTCCGTCTCCTGTGTGTGATGTAACTACTGTATGGTGGGGTTTGTAATGTTGCTAATGACTGGCCATATTTATCCATTCTGTAAAGGGTAAAATTAGTGAGGAGTTGTAGCAGAAAACCATTAGTAAATGTCTAGATTTTAAATAGTCCACCCAGACTAATTGCAGCTTTTCATTTGCCAGTCGTGCTTGGGGAAGCAAAGCATAGCTTGAATAAAAGGGTCAACAAGAGCATGAAAAACAGTTGATCATTTTGAAGTAATTTTGCAGCTGTGCAGGCATGGGAAAGCACTTGCCATTAGTTAACTCAACTTTCTGTTGTGTCCCGTGGCTCACTGTTTTCAATGTAAGCTTGAATTTGGAACAGTTTCTATTTTGGCACTTGCTGAAAAGGGCAGGCTCTTTCGATTATCTGAAACCTTATTTAGGGATAATATTGAAGACAGCATCCCAGAAAAGACTGTGAAGATATACTTGCTGGTCTCTCAGCTTAGTGTATTTTAAAAAGAAATGCCTTTATATACTTGAATCCAAGATGAGTTGTCACTTCATGCTCTCCTGTCCCCTCCCTCCCGCCCCTCCCCCCCTTCAGTGGGAGAGGCAGGGGGGCAGCCAGCTATCCTCTGACCTGCGTTCAGGGTCAGAGCTGCAACTTCTCCCCAATCCCTGGCCACCTCTGTCGTGCATTTTTTTTCATGTATAGAGTCTAATTATTGGGCAGTTGTCCTTAAATTTGAAGTAGTTTTAGATTTGGGCAATAAGGTAGCCTGTTCATAGAATGCTAGCACCTTTATGATGTCACGTTGATACCTTTAACCTATTTTATTTTTAGATTACAGGATCTCTTCCAACAAGAGAAAGGGAGAAAACGTCCTTCAGTACCACCTAGCCCTGGAAGACTGAGGCAAGGGGAAGAAAAGGTAGTTTTATTCTGCCACTGGTGTCTGCAGTGAAACAGCAGTTTTTCTTAAAGCCGTGTTTAAAATACATAGTTAAGTTGCATTGCTGGGCAAAAGTAATTTCATGGTGCCGTATAATTTGAGTTGAAAAGTGTTAACTCTGCAGGCTGTTAAGACAATGCACAACAGTGGCTTACACTAAAGAAAATGTTAACTCTGAATTACAAAAGCTGGTGACTTTTTAGAAACACAGCTATTTGCTTTAGTGCTTGTAAGCTCTCAGTACTGATGTATGTCTGTTTAGTTGTGCACTGTTGATATTGAGGAGATTATTTCTAAATGGGAAATAATCATTTATGTGTTTGCTTTTAGGCTTAGTTGTGATGAGAGAGAAAAGATAAGCAAGAGTGACCATATTACTTGCTTGGAGTTGCTAGCAACTGAGAAGGGGGAGAAAAATTGGGAAGATTTAATGTAAACAAAGTTGTAACAGAAAAACAGTTGGTAAAATTCTCTGGGTCACTTTTTCCATTGGCAGGTATGGAAAATGATAGAGTCCTTTGGGATATTGCATTTTTATCTAGCACGAAGTGTAATAGGGCAGGCATCAGCAACCTATGGCCCACATTGCTGGGAGGCTTTGGGATGTGGACGGCTTCTTTTGCATGTTAGGAAGAAGTGGTAGCAGCTCCTCAGGAGGAGCTGTGACTGCGGTTGCAGTGGCACTGGCATGAGCCAGGTTGGAAGCAGTCTGCTTGAAAAGCTAAGTTCCATTTAAAGCAGCCCGAGAGTGCTGGGTCTAGATGACCCCAGCTAGATGCTTATCTAACCTCCTCTTGAAAAGAGGATTCTGTACCAAGATGCTCAAGAAGCCCAGCCTCAGATGAAGCAACTAAAAAGTTACAGTATTCTCAGGGTACTAAGTAATAGGGGTGTGTGAAATGGGCCATATTCAATTCGGATTTGACCCCTGGTGGACCCGGAAGTGGCCTGGAAGTGCTTCTGGTCCACTTCCAGGTCTTCTGCTGAGCATGCTGGAGAGCTTCCCCGTGCTCCTGTGGGATGTTCCATCCACCCCAGCATCGCAGCATTCACGAGCCACCTGGTACCTTGAGGTATATAGAAAAAACATTTAAAGCTGTGTTTATGTCCAAATCGCCAAATCTTTCCGAATCGATTCAGAGAGTTCAGATTTGAGTTGGAGATGGATGGATAGATGTAGGGTCGGAAGGGACCTAAGTAGATCTTCAAGTCTGACCCCCTGCCCTGGGCAGGAGAGAATACTGGGCTCATATGACCCCAGCTGGTAATTATCAAGCCTCCTCTTAAAGACCCCCAAGGTAGGAGCCAGCACCACTTCCCTTGGAAGTTGGTTCCAGATCCTAGCCGCCCTGACTGAAGTAGTGCCTTCTAATGTCCAGCCTGAACCTACTCTCAAACCACTTATAGCTGTTATTCCTTATTACTCCGGGAGGTGCTTGGGGGAACAGGGTCTCTCCCATTCCCTGCTGGTCCACCCAGTAGGTTTGTAGACGGCCACCAGGTCCCCTCTCAGCCTTCTCTTGTGGAGGCTGAACAGGTTCAGGTCCTGCAGCCTCTCCTCATAGGGTCTGCCCTGCTGCCTGGACCATGTGAGTGGCCCTCCTCTGGACCCTCTCAATGCTGGCCACATCCCTCCTGAAATGCAGTGCCCGGAACTGGATGCAGTATTCCAGTTGTGGCCTGACCAGTGTCGCATAGAGGGGGAGGATCACCTCCTTGAACCTGCTTGAGATGCATCTGTGGATGCATGACAAGGTACGGTTGGCCTTACTAACAGTATCCTCACATTGGCGACCCATGTTCATTCGATAATGGCTCCAAGATCTCTTTCTGCCACTGTGCTTTTGAGAAGGGAGTTCCCCAGCCTATAGGTATGCTGCTGGTTCTTACTGCCCAAGTGCACTACCCTGTACTTGTCAGCATTAAATCCCTTCCTATTCTCATTTGCCCATCCCTGTAACTTGTCTAGGTCCTGCTGTATCCTGTCCCTCCCTTCTAGCGTGCCCACCTTGCTCCAAATCTTGGTGTCGTCAGCGAATTTGAACTGGGTGCTTTTCACCCCCTCGTCCAAGTCACTAATAAAGAAATTGAACAGTGTGGGCCTGAGGACCAAGACCTGAGGTTGAGCCACTGCCCACATCTCTCCAGGTCAAAAATGACCTGTCCACCACCACTCTCTGGGTGCAGCCCCTCAGCCAATTTGCAACCCATATGACTGTGTAGGCATCAGTGCCACAGTTGCCTAGCTTTTTAATGAGAATGGGGTGGTCGACACTGTCAGAGGTCTTCCTGAAGTCCAGAAAGACTATATCCACCACGACACCTGCGTCCAATGATTGTGTGACCTGATCATAGAAGGCAATCAGGTTGGTCTGAGAGGACCTGCCCCTAATGAACCCATGCTGGATGCCCCTGAGCATCATCCCCCCTGCTGGTCCTTCCCAGATGTGCTTCTGGATAATCTTCTCAAACAGCTTCCCCAGGACCGAGGTAAGACTAACGGGCCTATAGTTGCCCAGGTCCTCCCTCCTCTATTTTTTGAAAATGGGGACCACATTGGCCTCCTTCATCATCTGGCACCTGGCCAGAGCACCACAAGTGCTTGTAAAGCTGTGCCATGGGCCCCATGATAGCCCCTGCCTATTCCCTCAGAACCCTGAGGTGGAGAGCATCTGGACCTGCTGTTTTGAACACGTCCAGTCCCTCCAGAGATTAAAGGGTCCTCTGATTCGATTCGGATTCAGAGATTCAGTCTCCGACTCGGGATGAATCTCTGCCGAATCGAATCGGGGACCGAAGCTTCGCACCGCCCTACTAGATAGTAGCAAAAGGAGGGTGGGGGAGCACTGCAGGATGATGCAACTTAAAGGTAGAAAACAAAAGTTCTATGTTAAACCTGAAAAATGTGTGCGCTATAAACTCTTAAATGCAGTGCTTTAAAGGAATAACCCAAGTGCTTTCAAATCTGGTAAGACTGCAGTGTCTTCAGCTTTCTGCATGCGTGTGCATCTTTTCAGTTAATTGCTATCGAATTCCTAGTTTTCAGAGTAAAACAACATTTATTTTAAATCTTGCAGGCATAAGGTTCTGTAGTAAATAGACTGGACCCTTTAAAAGCATCAAACAAATTGTGGTAGTTGGTGATAAAAATTAAAGAGAACTGTATTACGTGAGTTAGAGCATTGTGCTAAGCATTTAGGAGTTTATCTAATAGCATACATTTACATCTTGCTATTTCTGAAATTTGACTCCTGCCTTGCAAATGGTCATACCTTAGATGGATTTAGTGGTGCTGCTGAGGCTGAAAATGCTGGCCGCAACTGCTGTTTGCAAATGAATTGGAAGCTACATTGGCAAGTCAGTTGATAGCTGTTGGGAGGAATCTCAAATTGGGGACTATAGCTGAAAAGGATTGGGGCTGCTGGATCCTACTGACAGACACTTGTTCTTTGCCCTTCACAGGTCAGTGTGATGGATGCTTCTCCCCGCAATACTTCTCCAGCACTACAGAATGGAGAGAAAGGTCTGTTCAGCAAATACTGTTTTTTAATGAGACCAACAGAAATGTTTACCTCAACTCCTTCTCATTGGATAACTAGAGCAGCTGGTATTTTGGTGTAGGTCTGTCTCCAGGCTTCTTGTCTGAGACCGTTATGCATCTGAGAACCTGCATTCTGGACCAGGACTCGTTCTACACTGAACATATTAAAAAAATGGTCCCTTCCCCAAAGAGTATGACATGCAATATTCTTAAAGCCCTTAATTCTTCCTAGAAAACTGGAGTGAGGCTTTTTATACAGTTGGGTCTTAAGCCTCTAAAGCCCTATGACGCACTTCCTGTCTTGAGGTGCTGTGACCAGTGGTTTTGGCACACTATGCTGTAGACATACAATGCTCTTTTAGTGCTGTAGCTCACTTTTATGGTTAATGAATGTAAACTGAACACAGGTTGGTTAGTCTTGTAGCAATGGCAGAGCTCCATCATGCCTGAATTTACCTAGGTCCTTCCATGTTGGACTGGTATCCGGAAAAAAACCTAGATTTTGAATGTTGTTAAATATCATGAGTCTTTTTATGTAACCATTTAGTTTCATTAGGGGGTGTCTCTCTTTTTTAACATGAATACTTTAATATTTCCAGATGTGTTGTCACTATAACTAGTGGAACTACTCAAAGGAAAAATGTCAAGAGTGCCCAAGTCCCATTTCTCAAAAATGACTTATTGTGGAAGTCCATGGGACTCCATCTCCTAATGAGAATTATTCAATGTGCATGACCTTTTAAAAGTTCAAGTGTGCAAGTCTGTCAGATGCATGTGGAGTGCATTTTCATCTCTTACTGTTCACTTGCTTGGTGCTGGTTCTCCTTGCATCATTCTTTTACTTCCCAGGGTAACAATCTTATTGCATATGAGGAATTGTTACACACGTGAACATAGGGTTCAGGAGCAAGGCATATGTTGCAGTTTCTAATGACACCCTGAAATGCTGTTCTGTGCGCTTGTACTTTCAGAAGATCGTTTCATGACTACCCTGTCAAGTCAGAGCTCCACAGGCTCCACCCATCTCCAGCTGCCTACTCCTCCTGAGGTTATGTCAGAGCAACTGACAGGGGGGTCCTCTTTTGTCAGTACAGTTCCTGAACAAGAACCTACCAGCACCTCAGAAGGTACAATCCAATGGCAGTCAGTTGTATGGTATATCACTTGGCAGCAGGCATATAAGGTCCATTTAGTGCATGATAGTCTGACTTTCTCTTGAAGCAAGGCATATTAACCATTTGGCCCAATTTCTTTGAACTGTAGGTCTAGTTTGTTGGGCAAAGTGGTCACAGAAAATGGACCAAATATTTAAAATCATGTGAGCCTTCAGTGTCCTCAGATGGATACTTGTCTCCCCTCCTCCTCTTCCCTTTTTGCATTAGGCAAACTCTTTTGCAGCTAACAAGGAACCTTTTGTGTAACACCCTTCTTTAGGAAGACCATCATAGCTAACCTGTTGAAATCTGAAGTTATAGCTTGCATTTGTGCTGGTACTACAATGTATGTTACAGTATAAAAGGATATGTCTATTCAGCAGTGGGGGTAAGGTGATGGGCTATTTGAAATGGAAATGAGGTTACAACAAGCTGGCAATAGAATCACGGATGTAACTTAAGACAGGTTGCTTGACCTCTGCTCTACTTTTTTGAAGTAAAATAGTAAAAAGATCTGTGAAGTTCTTTTGAGCTCCTCAAATAAAATTTGGTAAAATGAAGATCAATTGATTATACCCCAGACCTAGTTTTAAAGCTTTGGCTCTACTGGTGGATGTTTAATGACACTGAATAAATTCTTCTTTCCAGATGTGTTTGATGGACACTTGTTGGGGTCTACAGACAGCCAGGTGAAGGAGAAATCTACTATGAAAGCCATTTTAGCAAACTTGTTGCCTGGAAACAGCTACAATCCCATTCCATTCCCTTTGTAAGTAATACTGGGGCTACCAGTAGGCATAAAAATGGTGCTGTCTTAGCTTATCAGATGCAACCTGGCCTGCTTCGGCAGTGGCATTGGAAAGATGTGCACATGCTCTCTGTAAAGTGGAGAAATTTATGCAACAGTTTGGAGCTCTCTGTGTGTAAATCTAGTCTTATTGTACATGCTTGCTTGTTCACCCAAGGTTTCAGTGACAAACTTAACAGGGAGTGAAGGTTACTTGGATGTATTTGCTAATTTGAGACTCTGCTAAATTCTATCTTCTCAAATTCCTGAAAACTGCTTGAGGCCTCTGAACTAGACTTTAGGTGTCAGTGGCTCCTGTTCAGTATCTCTAGTGTAGCCCAAATTTGGCAACCTGAGGATAATGATGCCATTTCACCAGTATCTTCAGCTACCCAACATTAAACCCATAGACCATGCATCTCCTACCTAACTGCAGACAATTCCCATAGAAAAAGGCTACTTGTGTTCCATTAGGCCATCTCCATTTATCTTCTCTCCTTTTTCCATAAACTCAAACCCCTCCCTCTTCAAATCCTTTTTTTTTAAATAACTCAAATGTCTTGTGTGTGCTGCTCTCTGTCTGTCAGAATTTTACCTGATGTAAAGAGTACAGTAGCATGCCTATACTTTTTTCTTTTTTTCCAGATGTCTATCAAGATTCATACCAATGTTGGCTAGATATAGGTCAGGTTCAGTAGCTGTTGCATATTCCCTGTAGCCTCTCAGCTAACCTGAAAATTGCTAGGCTTGAAAGCCTTTTGACTAATAAGTGTGTGTGCGTGTGCTGTGACCCATTTGGCTTGAAGCTAACACCCACAAGCCAATCTGTAGAACTTGGCTTCTTGAGTTCTGTTTTGCTTCCCCAGAGCAGTAATGGCGTGTGTCAGCTGGGGGCTAATGTTGACCCTTTTTGGCCACAATTCAGAACCATGTCCTGAAGTCTAGGTATGAGCGGGAGAGAAAGAAAACCTTTGTAGACTCCCTCAAGCTTGATCAACATGTTAATTTGAGGACTGTATCACTGTCCCCTCTGTCATATGGGCCTAGATTTGGAATGCTAACCCTATCCAGCACATCAAATTTCAAGACCATGCAAGTAAAAGCACTTGGAAAATTTGCTTTCTAAACAGAAATTTATTTTGTAATTTAGAGCTGGTTCTTTTTTGTAATAATACGCTTGCCTGAAGTGAACACAGCTTGCTCTAACATTTGTTCTTAAGTTTATTGGATTCCTAACAGTGTTCTGTAGTATATACTATGTTGGCTACAGATAATAGGGAGAAAAGAAAATGCTTTGGTTCCAGGTCTGACTTTTGTTCCAAGTGACTTTTTTCTGGTTTGTATTTGCTGAAATTCATTACTGAACAAAAATGTAACCTCTTCTGTCTGCTGTCTCTGGAGGCTTGCTGCAGTATGTAAACAGCCTTTTTTTTTTCTCTTTCTTTCATGCAGTGACCCAGATAAACACTACCTAATGTATGAACATGAACGTGTACCAATTGCAGTCTGTGAAAAGGAGCCCAGCTCCATTATAGCTTTTGCTCTCAGGTATTGAATTTTATTCATTGTCCATTTGTTTATTTTTCAACTCAAACGCCTGTAAGGTCCTCTAACTATGGGAGGCAGAGGGTGTACAAGAGACTGTCATTGAGCTCCTATATGAGAATTACCTCCAAAGCTGACATGACTTTTTCATATTTGGAGAAATGAGATGCTGGTGTATGCAGTTTTGATGGACAAAATGATTTCCAAACTTGCAACTAAATTGTACCACACAACAAGAATTGACAGTGAAACTATGTATAAGGATAGTTCTGCAGCATCAAAACAATATTTTTCTGGGGTGCCTGCAGAACCTAGTAAAGCCCCCTTCCTTCCCCCCCCCCCACCCCT